TTTCCCGATGTCTGCAGGCGGACTTTGACGGTGTCTGAAAAATGGTAAATAAATTATTTGCAAACGGTGGTCTTCATTTACACGGGATTGTGATTGCAGCGAATAATAGGAAATGGGTTTCAATGAATACACAGTTGCTTTCGACGTCCGTAAACGACAAGAATCCCATTTTATTACCTTCGACGATATTGATCCTCAATGTAAGTCATCTGACATAAAGTGCGAATGACTCGGTGTTCAAATCCGCCTCGACGAGATGAAATTTCCATGAATTTAATCGTATTCTCGACTCCAAGTTTATTGACAATTATGATTATTTTGCCTTTTCCAATAACCGGCACTCCTTTTTTCAAAAAAATAAAAATGAAAATAAAAATAAAAAAATAAACAAAATAAATACCCCGTTCATAAAGCTCCCTCAATATTTGGTCATCGGTTTCATGCCGATACTCTTCAAATCCCTCACGAATCCTCTTTCGAACATACTTTACTGCCGGTCTCGAGTACAAAACCGAAGCGTCACCGGCTCGCCACAATCGACGGAATAATGAACGAGATTGGAAGGAATTGACGACCGTTGGACACTGAAAGGTGATGTTTTTCATCTCTCCAAAATTTTTCCTTGGAGAAATCTCGCGAATCAGTATAATACCATTTAAGATCGGGAAATGCGGTAGATTACCAAATCTGGGCAAAACTTTGGAGTTACGTTCCTTGGTTCAAATATTCTTTGATCCTTTATTTATCTTCAAGATTTATTTATGTGTCGGGTTAATTATTAATGGTAGTAATAAGAATATCCGATCGATTAACGGAATCCTTCTACTATGCTACGTGTCAATTTTGGGCAACGAGATGTTCAATCAATTCATCTTAAAGTCGCGAACACTGTTTCACATGCCGTAACCGTAACACGTAAAAATGAACGCGATTTCTTCGCGGTACAGTGAGGTCACTGCGAGGATATTGAACGAAAAGGATCAAAACGAAAAAGAATGTAGCTTTCATTTATTAAGCGCAGCATGACATTTCATTAGGAGGATAAAAAATTTTTTGAACAAGATGACAAATAAAAAAAAAGATATCAGTATATATGTATATGCGTAATATTTATTCTATCTATGGATTAAAAATAGATTAAACGAATTGTCAATCATCGTAAGTCTTCACTTTCTAAATCTTTCTTCGCTCGAAGTAGGATGCTAGTTTGCCATGGTGTTATCTTCGTGAGTTGGTCGTATTCTTTGCAAGCAGTCGCAAATTCGGATGGATCATACATGTTCTTTGCATTAATTAATTTCTGTGAAGACGAATTCGCTGGCATAAGCGTTGAATGTCACGCATTTTATTTTAAAAATAAGGAAGCATCCTCACCTCGATGAAAGTGCGCTCTCGACTATCGGCAAAGGCGGGATATTGTAAGACAGATTCCTTCAACTTGGTTTCAAGTCTAACCCAATCTCCCAAAGCGATGATACACATGAATTGCCAGAAAATATGATCCTTGATCTTGAAATTAAGCAACTGATCGTTTGCCGCAGTGGCAATTATCGTGTCAAATAGCATTATCGCTTGTTCGTAATATCCAATTTCCGCGGACAATTCTGCCTGTGATACAAGTGAAAATATATAACGACTGGATTTTCGGGGTGATTTTTTTTTGGTTTGTTAATCTTTGGCACCTTACATTACGTGCAATTGAAAGTTTTGACGACAACTCACCCATCACCCTCCAGTTCGTAGAGATGAGCAGCCTTTCGGTACACCTGTCGACAACAAAACGTTGAGAAAATTTTATTCCCGATCACAATGGCTATAAAAGAAGCGGAGAAAAAGAGGGATACTGACGGATAATGCTTTCTCCAAATTTCTATCGGGATTGGTAATCTTTTTATATTGTTCGGCAAGTTTCTCGTATGTTCGAGCGGCACGGGAATTCTGTCGGTCACTTGTTTCGTAGATCGAGGCCGCCATTTCCAATGCTTCGAGGGCCTTACCTATGGGGAAGAGGGTGTGTAAGAAATTTTGATAAACGAAATGTTGGTCATCGAAAAAAATACTTGCCTACTTGATTTGTCTGTTGAAAGGATTTGTATGCATCTTCGTAGCAAATCGCGGCTTCCAAAAGGTTAGAGTCGTCGCCGATTTTTTGGAATTGTTTTGCGGCGGACAAAAATGACTTTGCAGCTTTATGATCTAATGAAGTGGTCACGGGCCATCAGTATGACAAAGTGAAAGCGCACAATGCAAATTGAGAAAGTTAAATTTCAACGACACTTCACAATCCCTTTGTCCTTTCGCTTTTATGGCGGTTTCTTTATCATTGTACGCCGATCCCTCTAGAATCTGCATTTCCGTAGCGGAATCGGATTGTTTTTTATTGTTCCTTGAAGTGATTATTTCAATCTTACTAATCAAGTACCATTTATCATAGAAGCCTATATATGAAGCTGATCCGTCTTTTAATTTAACAATAGACCAACAATAATAGTTATTGTGATAAAATTCAGGAACAGTAGGTTGACCTACAAGTAGTTTATTGAAAAACTTAAAAAGTTCTTTTGAACAGTTAGAAGCAGAATTATCTTTCGATTCCTCTTTGGTTAACATATAATTTCGAAAAGACTCCTCGTTTGGATTATGCTTGTGAGCATAATAGACGAACACAGCTATGAAAATTAGGAAAATCATGCTCTTACATCAAAGGATTGGTTAGTAAAGAAGAGGTTCAGAGATCAATGTTTAATAATATGATATGACGACAATACGTAATTTATATTCTAAAAACGTACACACGTGAATCTCACATGCCATTGAAAATCGGTCTGAGGCGTGCAGCGCCCATTGACCTGTGTTCCTTTTTTGTTACACTTTGGGGTCGCAGCTGGCCTCTAGGTGATGAAGAGTAATTGTTAAGAAGCGTTAGTGGGCGAACTCATTTTGGCTCTATAGAAAAGCGAATTGCTGTGCTGCACACGATCTTAATGAAGAACCGTAATTTACTTGTTGCTGTGTACCGTGACACAAGCACCACTACCGCAAGTGGTTTTGAAACGTCGAAAATTGACGATGATCTTTTTCTGTTGAAGGATTCATCATAATGTCTGCCCACGCCGCTCAGGTGGTCCTAGGTAAGATTTAAATTCTCATCGATCCTGCGAGATCGGTCGTTTTTTTTTTTTTTTTTTTTTTTTTTTTTTTTGATGCTGACGAAATTCTCGATATCTTGCGAAGATAGACCATAATTCTCCGCGTACACCAATAGCTCCGGTCAAGGAACAACCAAATAGGCTCAGAGGTTTTATAGCAGGAGTAACTTCCGGCGTCACAAAACTTCTGGTGGGACATCCGTTTGGTAGGAAAGCATTTTTGGATTGAAATAATTGGTTTTCTTTTCTTTGCAAAATAATTTATTTACCATTTTTCAGACACCGTCAAAGTCCGCCTGCAGACATCGGGAAAAGATGGAAGATTTGGTGGTCCAATAGATTGCTTGAGACAAACTATACGGAAGGTAATTATTATTATGAGGGGAAGATCAATCCCAGTCATAACTCTTTATAATTTCTATCCATCCATCCATCCATCCGTCCTCCTATCTCCCTTCTTTTTTTTTTTTCCTTTAAAAAACGTTTAGGAAGGATTTCGTGCCTTATATAAAGGTTTGGTGATGGGTGACGCAAAAATCTGTTTTGTTTCTTTGTAGGTTCAAAAATTTGATAAATTGATGGTGTAACAGGGGCGACGCCACCGCTCGTGGGTTGGGGCATCATGGATTCCGTGATGTAAGTGGAAAAATGTCTATCGCCAATCAGTTTGAGATCTCGTCCTGACTAACTCCCATGATTCTCGTCATTCGTTCATTTGCAATTTCAGGCTAGGTTCTCTTCACAATTATCGCCTGCTTCTACAGGGCAACGATCCAACGATCAAACTCACCATTCTTCAGCACGCTATAGCTGGTGCCGGTTGGTGAGACAATTCGTTGTATGAATATTTCAGATTCACGAGAGATAAATAACATTACTTTTATTTTTACAGGTGCCGGTTGGACCGTATCATTTATTGCTTCACCGATAGAACATATCAAGGTATGAAAAGGACGCCAACTCAAATTTACTATTCATGCACGCACACGCATATTGAGCATTCCCCAAATTCACAGTCGAGGTTACAAGTTCAATACGACAGTGCTACAAAATTGTACAGCGGTCCTATTGACTGTGCACGTAAACTGGTAAATAGATGATTGAATTTTCAATATGAACTCCAATCGTGTCATCTGCTATTTATATTCTCATATTCTTATATTCTTTCCAACTATTGATAAGATCAGAAATAATGGCATTCAGGGGCTGTGGATGGGACTATCTGGAACTCTTGCTCTTAGATCTTTTTTCTTCGTCATGTGGGGATCATACGAGGTTGGCTAATGAAAATTTGATCTCTTTCACACGACCATATTCGAACTTCTTGCTGCTTAATGACACATATATACTATATACTGCACATATGTACATATACTGTACACACATATATATATATATATGCTTTTTTTTAAAAAAAATCAGTTTTACACAAGGATCTTAAGAAAAACAAATTTAAATGAGGTGTCGATCAACTTTTTGGCAGGTGGACTTGGTGCCACCAACTTTTGGCTGGCCTCGATGCCTTTTGGTAGGTCGTGATGTTTATGCGCATGGTGCCAAGTTTCACGGATAACCAGTTGCACGAATCCTTAGATACTATAAAGAATAAATATATGACACAACCCGACGTAAAACCCAGGATGTTTCCTACCTTGAGGAGCGTTGCATTACATACATATAAAGATGGTAAAATTATTTTACCGACTCAATATACTGTAATTGATTTTGATCATTAAACTGTTTATTTACTATTTTAATTTTATAGAAGGATTTAAGGGATTTTATAGGGGGATCGGGCCTTGCTTGCTAAGATCATTTCCCACGAACGCGTCGTCCGTCATGGTGTTCGAACTTGTTATGAGGTTGCTAAGGGATTCCGGCGTATAACTTTGTCATCTTCCGAACGTTACATACCGCGATCGTCTTAACGACCCACCCATGAACTTCTTTTAACATTTCAATGATCTTTCTGTTTATGTGAAGTTTTTCATTCTCACAAAGCTCGCGGCAATGAGAAATCTCGATTTCAGAATTAACAACAAGCGATACAATTGTTCTAACCAGTGATCACATCAAATTATGCAATCATCTGCACTAATCGAAAGAATCACCTCGCGACGTTTGGCGACGTTTAAAATAAATATAAATTTTTTTATTTTTGTTTAAAATGATGTGGTGTTCTAAAGACATGAAGGGGTGATATATTACAACATGGCGTTTTATTTTCAGTAATGAAAAAAAAAAAAATAAAGTAAAATAAATAAATTTTTCCCCCGGTGTCACGCTCAGCCGCCTCTGCTCACTCTCTTGACCATATTTATAATTCTGTTCAATGATACAAGATCAGTCTTCCACTCTTCGCGTTTTCTCACGTTCTCCGGATCCTCGCCTAACAACCCGTTAAGATCCGGTAATTGTGTTTCGTCTTCATTTTCAATTTCACCATTCAACATCCTAAAATGATCTCTGAGATGCATGCCGAGACGTGTGGCAAATCGGTGCACGAGATAGAATTCCACCACGCGTGGAACGATCTTTGGGCATGAGATATATGAGATGTGAAAATTAATTTTTTTCAAAATGGTTAACCGCTAAACACGAATTTTAAACGGGAGAAAAGAAAGGATGAATAAATACCTCACGGAATCGGGAATGTGCCATCTTCCAGTACGCCAATGCCCCCTAAGAAAAAAAAAAAAAAAATGTTACCACTCATAACATTCGCCAGTCTTTTTTTTTTTTTTTTTTTTAATACGTACTGTGGCCGCAAGAAAAGCCTGCTCGTTGATATTGCTCCTTAAAATTTTTTCATTCTCCTCGTGATCTGTTGTTTTAGGAACAATTCCCAACAGCTTATCCACATACGAGTTCTTTACCGCCAACATCATGGATAGTGTCGCCGTCGAAACATTCTCCTCCGCAATCCTCGCACTCCGAATTTCCTCAATTAATTGATGAGTTGCATCACCCTGCGAACCTAGCGCTTTAATCTCTTCTACCAAAAGAGATTTGCAGTTTTCAAATGTTTCATTTGGCGTACTAGCGTCCTGCATCATCTCGAATAACTTGGAACCGAATTCTAATATTGCTCTCGATCGTTCTTGGTCTTCGACGGACAATGCACATAATATGCGCAGTTGGATAAAATATTTGGATTGTTTTTTAAGAAGGGTCGCTTCGTCGGTCACATATAAAGCTCGACTAGAAGACATATGTTCCATATCTTCGATATCTCGAAGTTGTCTCAATGTGTCTTCTTTACACTGTTTGAGTAGGTCTTTTAAGACTCGTCTACAAAAAAAAAAAAAAAGATCCAGATTACAAAGGAAACAATCAACAAGCTCACAAAGTCACGATTAGTCGAAATCGATCGTACTTGATCTCATCCACGGCATTGGGGAATTCCAGAAACTCTTTTTCAACCAATTCATCCGTAAAACTAGAGACCCATTCGTAATTCTTTTCCATCAACTTTTGAGAAATCTTGAACCATTCTTTTTGATGTTTTCCAACGATGTTAACCACGGACTTGAAAGGAAAGTAGCCCACCAGTTGTCCGCCCTGAGCTCTCTGGATGACCTCGCTGAGTTGCTCTAAAGTCCACGTGTATTGACCATCCGGACCACGCTCATTCATGCCCCACTCATCTGCATCAATTTCGTTGCGTATTCCTTCCGTCCATCCGGAAAATTGCAGTGACCCCTGTTTTATCGGATCAAAATATTCCGAGGAAAATGAATTTCTAAATGACAAATTGTAGACCGGTCGGGTATTTAGGAGTGCCAGGTCAAATTGTCCGAAATTCCATTGTTGACCTCTATACAGACGGGGCTCATGATGTTCAGAGTTGGCGTGACTCGAAAATTCTTTATCGAACTTGCCAATGAGTTCCATGAATCGGTAGATGGGATTATCCTCTGGCGGTGGCGGCAATGATTCTAGCTTCTCTTCGAGCTGTCGACAATTGCATAGTGCTTGATATTTCATGTGGACGCAGCGAAAGAATTTAAAAAATTATCAACAATCAATTACCTCGGTCTTTCTCTGTTCCAGAAATGGTCTAATTCGAGGCCACGTTTTTTCTTGTAATACTTTTTGAAGTTCACTTAATTTTATAATCAGGTTAGTCAATCCGAACCTACTTCGGGGAACAGTTCTCCAAACTCGATTCTGCAGCAAATTATTTATTGCCGCGTTCTCTAGATTCTCGGGATTGGTGCCTCTTTCACTTGTTGCGTCAGACGGATTTCGAATGATGTACATTCCATTTTTCAAGGTGTGCTCACCTCTCCCATTAACCAAAGCGGCAAGTTCCCTGTGTCTGCTCTCATGGTACGAGAAGTCAAGTATTTGATCGATTTTAGTGATGATCCCAACAGTTCGCAATCCCAACGGATCTGCCTCTTGAGCTAAGCGCCACGCACTTTGAGTAGCAATATCCGCAGTTGCTGCAAAAATTGGTAGGAGTATGGAATTCTCCTTTGTGATGTATTCTTTAACGAGATTAACCACGAATGTCTCGTTTTCTTCCACATCACGGACAATCCCTGTTTAAAGAATACCGTATATCACGTGACCATTGGTATTAGTTATTTATTTTATTTTATTTTATTTTTTTCAATTCGTACCTGGCAAATCCACCATATCCAAAGAATATTTGATGTTAGGATGCCCAATTGTAACACAAACAGTATTTTTCGTGAACTTCAGCTCATCATGATCATTATTTGGCAGGTTCGTTGCGTGAACATCTCGAATACTTGGATTCTGAAGATATCGTTGTGCCTCTCGAAGCTTCGCTTCAATGGCATCATCCTCCAGACCTAGTATATCAGCGAATTCGATTTCGCGCGAAGGGATCCTCGATTGTAGACTATCCTCGACATAGCGGAGGGAAATTCTTCGCATGGGAGTTTCGGTCTGTAACATTCGGATTTCGAATGGTGTCGCTGTGCATCGACCATTCCCCCTATTTCATGAAAAAAAATGCATTCCCTTTATTATTATTGCTTCTTGTGCACAATGACTTAAAAAAAGGTTACCTCGGCACAGGTATTCCGCCGGTCAGCCGTTGTATCAGAGAGCTCTTACCAGAGCTCTGATCACCGAACGCCACTATAGTGGGCGTGTACTCTTCAAAGTCGGAGGTAAACTTGCGTATCTCGACCATAATGTCAATATACTCACGCGCGTTAGGCGTGCTTTCAAGTGGTGAACTGTAAATGTTTGACATTTTTAAACACTGTACGTCGAATACGATAGGGCAATGATAATGTTCTGCTAGCGAGAATTATTTAAAATTTGAGATATATGTGCGCAAAAAAAAACAATATCCTCCTGTTTATATAACGAAATCTATTCACTCCTTATTCACAAAATCAATTACAGAAGGCAAAAAAAACTTTCCGAAGTTTCCATTCCAATTTATCCTAAAATAAACCCACTTTCTCTTAAATGGGTTGTCTTTTTCTAAAAAGATATTCTGATGCATATGTTGTACTAACATATGCGCACTAAAATTGGAATTAATAGAAAACGGAAAAGCTAATCCACACAGTCTTGAAAAAGCATTTGTTAATCGCATAAAATAAATTTTTTTCTCTTTTTGTTTACGCGATCTTTCATTTTCGCGTCATGAATGCACCTCGACCCTAATTCCTCTACCTTCCATAATTGATAATTAGCGAGGATGAAAAAATTAAAGTTTGACTTTATGTTTTTTTTTATTCGCCACAATAGTTATTATTTCCAAACTGGGTTGTTGATCTGTACGTACGTGAACAATGGGTTCTTTATGTTGCATGTACCACTGTATATCATTTATTGTAAGATTTGCTTTGCATAATAAAGTTATTTCAAATACTGTACTGGTACTGTTCAAAATATTAAAGTTAAGCTTATATTAGGATAAAAAAAACAAACCATTTTATACTAACTATACTATAAAAGGTTTGTTTAACTGGAACAAAGAAAGAACTTGGTTTTAAAAATTTTGGCTGTTCAAAATATTGAAAAAAGTCAGAATTCAATTTTATACTATTTTATTTTTACTATTTAATAACTTAAATAATTATTGAATAATTAATTATAAATTACAATTTGATATAACTTTGTCTAGTATAATCTTCTTATTAACAATATATTCAATTCTACAATTTGATAATTAGAGCATAAAGGAAGTTACAAATAGTGATCATATAATATTAATAATGATATTACATAATACAAATATTTTCAACAGAGATATGTTAAACAAATTACCTATTAAAGGGAAAAAAAGAATAGATATAAAAGGATCAACAATAGATCAATAGCAGACATTCAATAACAGTTTGAACCATAAGTTCAAAACAATATTAGATCCCCTATTATAAAAAAACCAACAGAAAATATGAGAGCAGATTAAATAAATAAAATATGAAAGATATTTGAAAAGCTAGTTAGCAAAGTAGCCTTTAATAAACTTGTAATCAAAAATATATCTATTTTAAGAAATAAGTACTATAGATATAATTCAAAGTTCATCAAATATAGAAAAATATTACAATTAATAACAATTTTCAAAAAAGTAGAGTTTTCTAATAATTCAGACAAGCTATGGATTTTTAGTATAGCCATAGAGAAATATAACAGAGCTTATAGTCCCAACTATCAGATTGAGAACAAGATCTTATGATATTTATATATAATCAATTCAATTATTATTTATTATATTTTATCTTATTAAAGTTTTTATTTTGCCTTTTTATACTTTGTATATCTAAGAAATCTCATTTATTAAGAAAGTTGAATAGAAAGATTTTTGGATACTATAATAGTCTGAACTTTATTTTGAAAGATAATGTTCTATTTTCTTCTAGGTTATAAGCTACATTGAAATCTACATTAATATTATATAAAAGCTTTACCTATATTTAATCTTGATAAGACTTTTTATTTTCACTTATACTTTTTATTTCTTTGCTTGTTTAATAGGATATATGTTTACATGATATAAATTTTGTTTTTTTTTCATCAATAAGTTAACTACAATTATATATTCTTCCATTTCTTTTACTGATACTACTTTTTTTTTCAAAATCTTTTCTAATCAATAGACTGACTTCTGTTCCATATGTAAATGTCTACATTGGTACTATGGAAATGTTTAGATGATATCTGATTATTAAATATCCATTTTATCTTTGTTTTGATTAATTTGGTCTCACTTATTTTAGCATATTTATTTCCTATTTCTGTATTTCTTCTATAAGACTATGTTGGATTATTGTATTTAAGATATTCCTAATATTGTATATATTGATTATTATTACTTTTTTGTGAATATTATTATAATTTTTCTTTTTTAATATATTTTTGTCTTTTACTTTTTTAAAAAACTCTATTTTTTTTTTAAAGCAATACATTGGCATTATAATTATTTTACTATTAAATCATTTTTTCTTATTTTATTTGTCACACTTATCCTTGTTTAGAGTATTTATTTCAAAAGGATTAGATCAATCCTTCTTATTATTATTTTGAAAAACTGATGTTTCTAAAAGTGATTTGTACTTTCTCTATTCTTTTTTATTTATTTACTAGAATATGTTTTTCCTTCTAATCTAGAAATTCTACTATTTAATCTTTTTAAGTTTACTAAAATAAGATTTAAGGAGTCCTATCTATCTTCTGTCTTATATTTCATGTTTTCTTTTCATGAATCTTTTTACTATTGTTAATTACCTATTAATTTTCTATTGCTTCCTATGATGGAATATCTAATTGCCCTATTTTTTCACTATTTTAATTTATTGTTATAAGTTTGTCTTATATTTTTTTAATCCCTTGTTAATCAATTTTAGTTAAATAATTTTTCAATTAACTTGTTAAAGCTGTTAATGTCATTATAAGAGCTTGTTTCTTCTAGAACTCTGAATCTCCATTTGAGCTTTTTATTATTTATAATATCTATTCTTCCTATTCTTGCAACTTATTGACTAGATTTATTATTGTTTGAATTATTTTCTAGTTTAGAAACTTTTGTTTCATGGAGCTACTCTTATAAGACTTTTATTTTTTTTGTAAAATATTCCTTGATACTTTATATAAGTTTATATATATAAATAAAAATATGTTGTTTTAAGGCCTTTACTAGATTTTGGATTGATGTGAAACATATTACTATTACACTCTTCTTTTAAGTGTATAAGGATTTCTAGATATATAACATGCTTTTGCTTTAGTATGTCTGATTGCTTGTGCAACTAGACTAATTATAATATTGTATGTTTCATACACTCTCAAGAACTAGAAGTTTCGTTATTTAATAATATTATTAATCTTATTGTTATCTGGTTATATAAAGTAAAGATTACTATAATTGTTTCTTGATTGGTATAGATAATCTATTCTTTTTTCATATTATTATATTGCTAGTATAATATTATTCAAACTTTAATTCTTCTTTATAATCTCAAATAATTGTAGATACAGTATGAATATTTGTTGTCTTTCTATATATTTTTAAGAGTATATTTAATCTCATACCTTGAGTGACTTTGATCAATATTAATGAGGATTACTACTAAGGATCTCTTGTTCTTCTTTTTCTTCTACTAAAAGATTTTCTTATATACAGAATATGAGATATTCATTTATTTTTCTATTTATAGGGATATAACTAAATATAGATCTCTAAAAAAGAAGATAGGAACAAAAGTCAAATGTTCCTCACTAGGAAACATTAAAATTTTTAAATTAATAACTATAAAAAATATTCACAATTGTTTTTCATTATTGATTTATAACATTTCTTGACTTTTGTTCTTATTAAAGTGAAGAGTTATAAATTTTGTCCCTCAAAAAGGATCATAAGTAATCTGCAAAATTTTATATACTAAATACTTTAAAAACCTATCATTAGGTAGACTATAAAGTTTTCTTTTTCTTTTTTGTTAGTCTTTTCTAGATACTGTAGA